AAATTCCAGTGAAATATATTTATGTTTGTGGTTGTAATGTGACAAAATATGGAAAAGTTCAAGGGGTATGAATACTTTTGCAAACCACTGTATTTATAATGTAATGTATGGGCCAGTTGATGCAAAAATGCTCCACCTTAAAATGTATACATCTTCTGCCACTTAGTTGGGTCACAAAAGCAACAGGTTTAACAGAGAAACCCAGCCATCTCTCTTTCCAACGACACTTTCCAGCTCATCCTGGGGGTTCACAGGCCAGAGAGAATACACAATCCCCCCAGTGAGTCCTGATTCTTGCCCGGGGCCTCCTACCCGTTGGACGTGCCTGGAACACCTCTAAACGGAGATGTCCAGGAGGCATCCTAATCAGATGAACCACCTCAACTGACTCCTTTCAATGTGGAAAAGCAGCGACTCTATGGACCCTGTAAATTGAGAGCTTTGTCTTTCAACTCAGCTCTTTCTTCACCCCGACTGACCAAAACAACACCCTCATTACTGTCGATCCATATCCAGCTCCATTGTTAATGCACCCAAATACTTAAACTTCTCCACTGGACACAGAGACTCCGACCCCCAAGCTAGAGGGCACATTCCACCATTAAAACCTAAAACCTGTAAAACTTAAAATCATATTTCGATGGGTTGGAATGAGAATATACAGTAGTTTATTGTATTTAATACTTTCAAATAACGTTTCTTTCCCCTCAGGTAAAGAAGGTTCCACTGAACATTAATCAGTAATGTTATGACTAACTGGTGTATACCTTTTATTACTGAATAAAGAAAGTGATAGAAATACAATATATGGCTAAAAACTTCATGCAGCTGCAATGCTACTTATAAAATGAGTTATAACTAAGTGGACTGAGCATTGTTTGAAGCACTATTGGTTTACAAATACATATTGTAACCCAGCTGGTCCCCTACAGCAACTTACCATTTATCCTTTTCTGTCATGTCTGAATGACTAACCAGCTGTACCCCCACTTTTTAGTTCCGTTTATCCAGATGTTACATATATTTCTTCAGCAGAGTTCAGAAATATGTAGGCACATGGACTGGAACACCAATTTTGTGTGTAGCACTGTATGACAACACTAGATGGTGCTCAGTCTCCATCGAATCGACTTCCTCCGTAGAGGCCCAGAGTTGTTCAATGACATGCCTGAATGCAACACTAATAGTTAAGCCTTTGTTTAGCCTTTAACAGCAGTCCTGTCTGGGGTTTGTACTGAACACCCAGCTGTCTTACGCTGCTCTGACAAGAGATCTTGCCTATTGAGATGTTCTTCCTCTGTGAAGACTTACTTTCTTAATGACTTTGTTTATAATTAATTCCAAGGAGAAAACACACACAAACTGATTGGCTTGTGTTTGAGTGCTCTAACCTGTTCTGACACTGTACACATGCATTGCCAATTTACTGCAGTTGTTTGTAATTGGCTTTTACAAAACAACAAGTTTAAACAGTTTTTCTTTTTTTTTTCTATTTGTTCTATAATTTTCCCCACCTTGTCTTTTCTTTCCACATAGGGAGTGGGCCTTCCAGGTCTGGCTGTAAGTAGTACAGTGTGTTGGACATTTAAGATTGATGACTGTCTTTAATAATAACTTTACTTTTAATGGGTACAACTTGGTTTTGGCTGATGCAACACTTGTAAATGTTTTCTTTCATGTTTATTCTCTATGTTATGCCATATATAGGGCACTCCGGGGCCAATTGGTCTCCCAGGTCAAATTGGACAACCTGGTCCAAAGGTAACACACCAGTTTCTTCAGACAAACTTAATGTCTTGATGAAATGCTAACATTCATTACAACAGTCCTTACATATAAGCACTGTTTTTATGCATGACTGCTTTTATCTTTCACCTTCATCAAGGGCATAATGGGACCACCTGGACCTCCAGGACTTCCAGGGCCTTCAGGCAAGCCAGTATGTGTCCATTTGGAATTTGTCTAGGACAAAAACTGTAACAAAGTTGATCATAATTTGAAATATATAGAAAAAAATGGGTGAAATGGCATTTGATTTACTTTTGACTGTATTGTAAATAATCAACTTACAGTCAAATTAACCTCCATTTTGTGTGATTGTAGCTAAGAATGATCCAAAATACATGCTGAATGCTTGTCACAACTTATTGTTCTGCTATTTTTAGATTAGTGTAGAAGTAGCCAAAAACATTCTTTACCAAATGTTAAATGTTAATCAAATATTCAAGATGACCACTACAGCTAACTTTAAAAGGCTATAATTCAACCATTTTAAGACTTATTGAGATGGCATTTGTTGTGGAGTAGCTTTGATTGAAACTGATTGCTGTGCTAATCCCAAATTAAGCTAACAACTAATGCTAATGTTATTTTTACAGAGGGTTGTACTTCGGACATTTTTGCACATTTAATGGTACAGTAGTATCAGAAAGCAATATTTAACCAAATCAAAATGTAAATGCAAAATCTAAGATCTCCACCCATTTATATATATTTTTGGGGGTGTCACCTGGGGTGGCCAATTAGGTAACGAGGGTGGCACTTGCCCCCCAGCCACCTCTCTGGTTTTGCCCCTGGTGGACACCGTCACATTGTGCTATAAATGTGTATGACCCCGACTTTTATGGTGTAAGTACTAAATCAAAGTTGGAAAATAAAATTATGGGAAAACATTTAGTAATTAATTTATTTTTGTCTGTATTATTAGAACCTTATTTAGCATTTAGCTACTGCGTCTTTAACTATATAGTTTCACCTCAGAAGAGGTTACCTCACAACTAGCTTGGTATCCTAAATTGTGACTGGGATGCGCGGCTGCATGGTTAAAGTTAATAATTTCCCAAGGCAACAATGTTTGTCCACTAAAGACTGGTGTAATCAGTGTACAAGCCAATGGGAACCCATTGACCTTAATCAAGCATGTGGTGGTGCAGGCCTAAATCAGCTTCCTTCTAATGCTGGATGAGATTACGATGTAAAACAAAAGCGGTGACAAAGTGCTAATGCCGGGCAGAATGTTTGTTTCAGCAAGAACAGCAGCTATTATGTGTGTTTTTAAATGCATTAAAATACCCACCGCAGCTCAAGCTCGAACAGGTCCCAATGGACAGAAAGTGATGAGGTACTAAAAACTGTTTCAAGAGTTACGCTTTTAAGGTGCATGCACTCCCTTGTGTGCATCTCTGACAGTCTTCAAGAAGGTAGGGAGGAAAAAGTGTCTTCATTGAAAGTGATGTTCCCAGCCCAGGGGAGTATATTTGTTTAGTTTTACTGCTGTCCTAGGACAAATAAACCCCTATTAGATCAGTGGGGTTGTCTCATCTGACTGTAGCAGTAATACATCAGTCCCTATAGATACTTCACTTCCAAACTTAATCTATAAACCGAGAGATGAAAAGATAGAGAGGAAAAGTGGATAGAAAGATGAAAGAAGCGCTTACTCAGCTCAGAAGAGAAGAGGGAACTTTGCCAACTGTGACCAGTGGCTTTTCCTCACCCATGTGTCCATTTCTCTGTCCAGGGACCTCCAGGAAAGTTTATTGGTTTAGATGAAGGCAGTGCAGATTTCCAGGTAAAGTTTTATTTGTATTATATTGTTTTGAACATGATTTTACATTTTGTAATCTGAGTTTTTTTGTTATCTATACATCAGTGTCCTCTGAACTGCCCAGCAGGACCTAAAGGGCCCCAGGGACTGCAAGGTGTTAAGGTAAGGAATTTGTTTGAATATTTATTTTCCCTAAAAAGATTTAAAAAATCTTATATCACCATCCTAACTAAATGTTTCTCTCTAGGGACACAAAGGAAGAGCTGGTGTTCTTGGGGACCCTGGCAGCATAGGGAAAGTGGTGAGCCACGCAGTACACACATCCACTCAAACACCAAAGCATGTTTATGTTATACAGTGTTGCACACTCAGCCACCATTGAGAACCAGAGGAGGCAAGGATTAGTTCTAATGAAGCCCCCTGAGGCACATGACTGCACTAATCTGACTGCGATTAGTCAGGCTGGGCCCTGGTCGTGCCGTCTGCTTGCACCTAGGCAGATGAAAGGGATGGTGAGGAGCCAGGTACATGAAGAGGAGGATGAGAGAGTCAGGGTTTGCACAGCCCTCTCACCTTGCCGCTTTAAGCAGAGCTAATGAGCACACTGCGGGCTCCAAGGGAGCAGCTAGCCAAACCACAGGAGTTAGCCTCTGATCTTTCCCCACAATGAACCCTCTGGCAGCGCTTGATGCTGAAAACGCTCAGCACACCCAGTAACCACGCCTAGTAAAGGTGTGTATATATAACTTACCAAAAATGATGATAATCATTTCAGCCAGTAACATATGCAATAGGCAACTAAACATGCACTTTTTTTCCTTTGGAACTTGGTGATGCCTTTTATGTGTTGAATCAGCTACACAAACACCAACATTATTCTGCTACATTGCAACATATAAATAAAGAACACTATCCTGAATTTAAAAATTCAAGCTGTCTGCCACATCCAATTTTAAATGGCTCTAATTTAGCTGTTTAAAGATCTTTTGAGCTGGAATGTTGTGTGATAGTAACAAAGACTGATCTAAAATCATGTTGATCAACAATAAACAGTGCAGTTAAAACTTGTTTAAAATGGCGGCCACATGGCAGTATCCATCAAAGTTTCTCAAGGAGCTTTTCTATTTGCTCAATGTTGTTGCTGTGTTTTAAACTTGCCTCAATGTTGCACGATTTTCATTACTGTTTTTTTTTTAAACCCATAACTTTAATACACATTTGAGGCTTTATATTTGGTTGTTTATAAACATTTTTACACACTTATAGGTTCTATTTACACCAGATATTGTAGCTGTTAGACAGATATGTGCTCTGTTTTTGCTCTAACTGACTATATTTTATTGCCACATGCAATCCACACACAACTTGTCAATAATCTGGGAGTGGCACCTGGCATGGTGAACTGGGTGCAAGAGGTGTCACGGTCTGTCTGAATGGGTGTTTTTATTTTGGTTTCTCTTCTGGTTTTCTGTCCTGTACTTCTGTTTTCTTCCTCCTGCCTGTCTTTACTCCAGCCCCACCCACTCTCACCTGCTCCTCATGTTTCTCTCCCAGGTGTTTCTTGTTTTAGCTCATTAGTTCTCCTTTATATTCTGTCTTGAGTCCTCAGTCTGTGTCAGAGCTTTGTTGTTCCTGCTCATGCCATTGCCTCATGCTAAGCCTAATTATCTTGTTTGCTGTCAAGCCAGCTTTTTGATTTTGTTTAATAAAGACCTTTGCACCTTTTTTTGCCAAGATCATTTCAGTTCTGCACTTGGGGTTCTAACCTACCAAGCCCTTCATAACAAGGGGTTGCACTTGCCACACTGACCACCCCTATGTCTCTGCCTCTGGTAGAAATATCATCAGGCCTGAGCACATAGTCCTACATACTGGAAGTTAACATGTTCTTTAACATGTCGTTCTTTTGAAGAAAACATTTAAAGCATCTCCAATCTTTCCACACAAACATATGTATTTACTAAATTATCATTATTTAACGAGTCAAATCCCGTTGAGATCACAGATCCCTCTTGTAAGGAAGGCCTGGGCCATAAGGCAACCTAACAAGCATGTTTTTGGCCTATGGGAGGAAACCAGAGAAAACCCACGCAAGCATGAGCATAACATGCAAACTCCACACAGAAAGACCCCAAGTCCGAACCAGAAAACCCTAGACCTTGTTGTGAGGCATCAGTGCTAACCACTAAGTTGTCCTGCTGCCCATTTTACTTTGTGTGAGGTGGAACCGCTATGTTATATACTACAAATTGTGTTTTGGCTATGCAAGTTAACTAAAGCAAACAAAGTAAAAGTGCAAAGCGGATTTAAAAAGTTTACATCAGTGACGGGACAATTTGACGGTGAAACAATTCCATTTCCTAACAAGAGTGTACCTCAAAGTCCATGTGCCTGACTGTTGGAATTGGAATTGGGCTATTAATTTTTGATTAGCTTTCTCCCGCTGGCTAATTAGCTTCAGCAAGATTGCTATCAAGTATGACTCAGCAAGTATACAGCATTCAACCTTCAAAGCGCAGTTATGTTGTCAAAAGCAATTACCATAGCCACCATCTTTTTAACTTAAAGTTTTACATTAAATATGCACATAAGTCAAAGTAAAATGGCCCACATGTCTGAAAGAGAATGTGCAACTAATGCTTGTTTTTCTAATTTATTGTTTTATTTGTATTAATTTATTGATTTTCTTTTATTAGGGATCCAAGGGAGATATAGGCATCTCTGGGGAACAAGGCATACCAGGACCACCGGTATGCTGCAAACATCATTTCATCAATTAAAAGAAAACAATAACATGTCTATTTTAACCTCAGTGCTTGGAACTGGCAATGTTTAAGTACCAATCTTATTGCGTTGTCTTCACTTTTTAGGGTCCAATGGGCCTTAGAGGTTACCCAGGAATGATGGGTCCCAAAGGAGAGGCTGTGAGTGACACACTTATTTTACTACATTTGCATAGCAATGTAATGTCTTTTGGTATTTTGGATTCAAGGCCATTATACTTCAGAGATGAACGCCATAAAGGCACAGCCAAACCTGGCTTCCACTATATAAACACCATTCATTACCAGCAATGGGGACATATGGAAATGATGCTAACACAAATCTCTCTCTTTCTCTAATGAGTTGGGGTTGTCTGGGTCCATAGTGCCTCCATCTGTAGTTAATGATCCGCTGTAGCCATCCGTCTTACTGTTAACATTAGCCGAGTTAGCCAAGTTAGCACCCCGGCTTAGTGCCAAAACAAAAGTAGCTGGCTCTCGGTGCTGCTCCCATTAGTAGAGTGAGTTAAGCACTAATTATCCTTTTATCACAATGAATTGTGGGCTTCTGCAACTTAGCTTTCTTGCTGATATGCGGTGATTGATTGCACTTAGTTGTTTTCCGGCAGGGACCTCGTGGCTACAAGGGCATCGGTGGACCTGTAGGAATCCCTGGACCGCCTGTGAGAAAACACACTCACACACTTAGATAAGCAATACATCTTAAATATTCTAAAGTCTTATTTATTCTGTTTTGCAGGGTGAAGAGGGACCTAGGGGACCACCTGGAGAGCCAGGAGACAGGGGTGATAAAGTGAGAGACATTTTTTTGTCAAAGAAAAAGTTATTTTTCAGAACTTGAATAGGGAAAATGATTCTATTGTGCACATATACTGAGGTAGATGTGATTGATTTTTTTTTTTTTTTTTTTCGCAGGGCAGCCGAGGCATTCAGGGTCCTCAAGGTGCAGTTGGCAAAAAGGGAGTGAATGTGAGTGAAAACACTTGGTTTGTTTGTCGCCATGTGTTTGTTGACTGTGCCAAATGACAAATGAAGTCCGCTGACACTTCTGCCTGCTTTGCCAGGGTCTGCCAGGCATTGATGGAAAAGACGGCACACCTGGAGTACCTGGAATCAAAGTAAGCTTGTGCCTGCCACATGAAATAAAAGAAAACAAAAATAAATAAAGCCCGATTTAAAAGCATTTTTAATATCTCTCTTGTATGCAGGGTGCTCCTGGGCAGCCTGGGATGCCAGGTCCTCCTGGTCCTCAAGGAGCAGCAGTAAGTGATTCTTAATTATTGCAGGGGGTGTTGCATTTGTATGTCACAACCAACATGATGTAGATACTTGTCACTCACACACATTTAGGGCAATCTGGAAGCTAAAACACAAGTTTGGGTGAAACAACCTATATGATAGTGTGTTCTGATTTGTTGGCAGCCATTCAGTTTTCCAGTGACTTATTGACCCATTCTGTTTTAGAATACAAACCACCTTGAAATGGTACACTTATCCCTTTGCAGACCATTTATCACATTCAGACAAGTGGAAAACACGTGTGTGTGTGTGTGTGTGTGTGTGTGTGTGTGTGTGTTTTGGCTAAGGGGTAATGAAGCATGAGAGGCACACCTTTTCTGTGTGATCACTGCTGTCACACCAAGACGCAGAAACTGGACCTCATCTATTTATGTCTATGATACACTTGTCACATGTGCACAAACATAGACACACACACAAACAGTGAGTTGTGTTGTTTTAGTTAATAAGATTTTATATATTTATTCTATTATTATTCCATCTGGTACATAATCTGTGATGGGATAATAGCTGAGAGTCATCCTCAACATATTCTCTGAGTGTTAGCAGAATGTGCAAGAACTTTGTTCAAAATGCTACCAATAACTATAAAAGTCAGTGTGTTTGTGTGTCTGTTAGCAAAAGATCATGTGAACTAGACAAATATGAATTACCGGTAAACTCTTATGAACTAAATATTTGTTCTAAATCTATAGCTGACTAACTTTTAGAAAAAAAAATCAATGGAAGATGCACCACAACTAATCCACTTTAGAATACACAACTATTGGTTTAATTTCAGCAAATGCACAGATGTTAAGCTAGAAATTGTTGTCGTAGAAGCTGAGTGTCAGTCACAATGCACACTGTAAAGTCTTGTTAATTGTGTCTGTAGGGATTACCAGGATCCCCAGGGGCTAAAGGAGAAGCTGGAGTTAAGGTATGTGCTTTTTCACATTGGTTCATATTTCCCATTTATTCGAGCATTTTTTTGTGGTTTTATTATTCATGTTATCACGTTTTGTTAAATTATTTATTTATGTTTATATACAAAACTCTTGACAGGGGGAAACAGGCCCTAGGGGTCCTGCTGGCCTGGCTGGTGCTCCTGGACCTTTGGTAAGATTATTGTATGTATACCAAACTTTTATTATGCAACAGCGGGACAATTCTACTAACTTATTGCATCGTTGCTAGGGTGAGCCTGGTATTCCTGGTGAGCCTGGTATGGCAGGGGTCCCTGGACCTAAGGTAAACAGCAACAAAAAATAGTTTAAAACAACAAAAACTGCTGCCTTAAATCAGACTGACTCACTTGCAATGACTTCTGTAGGGAGACAGAGGCCAGCGGGGACCAGTAGGGCCACAGGGTGCAGTTGGCAAACCTGTAAGTCACATTATTATTACAGTTTTTTTTCCCAAGTACATTTTAAAATGAATACAGGATGTACATTTAACAGATTATTCCTACAGGGAAGCAAGGGAGAAAGAGGGCCCACTGGTGTTCCAGGTGCACAGGGCCTTCCTGGGATTAAGGGAGACAAGGTCTGGACTTTTCTGTGTATGAAAAATAAGTTATATATCTGCATGAAAGCTGTAATGTAACTAATATAATAATGTAGTTAGGTCGACCTGTCCATTGGGGGCAGTGTTTATCTGCGACTAGAACTCAACTGAATCCACAGCAGATTATTGAATGAGGCAAGCAATATAAATGATAATTCAAGCTTCCTCATCTTCCTTGTTTTAGAGTTGAGACAACATTTTTTTTTACTTTTCAATCTCTAGTGTTACCGTGTTTGATCAGTAAATAATTTTTAAGGTGTGTGTTTTGTAAGTAATCATATATTCTGGATCACATTTACATTTCCTTTCCTCTCAGGGCTTTCAAGGCAAAGTTGGTTCAAAGGGGGGAATAGTAAGTGATACATATTTCTTAATGCATCTATTTAAAATGGGTTGTCAGAAACAGAAAACCAGAAGCAAGATGCTCACAAATCCCTTTATTCTCCTCCTCCATAGGGTGACCCCGGTGTCGAGGGACTGGCCGGTGAGAAAGGTGAAAAGGTAAAGATTATTAACACACAGTCCAAAGATGTTTCCAGCTTTTTGCTATAAATAACCATAACAAAGTCACTGAATCTTAAAAAAAAACTTTGAGTATTTAGTTAAGAAGGTTTAAACAGTTGATTCAGAATACATCAAAATAGAATGAAAAAGTGGAGAATATATCCAAACCATAACAAAGTTAAAAAGATGATGCCTTTTAAAAAAGAAAATTTGCATACAACTTCTTGTAATAATCCAGATGGCTAGTAGGTTGTTTACATGACGGTGAAGCAATGATGCACGTTACTCTTTGAAGTCGGATTTCAATATTCATTTACAACATTCTTTCTTCAGTTACTGCTGGTCGTGAGCTCTGAAGCATTAACACTAGGGATGATATTAAGATAATGACTCTGTTTTTTTCTGTTGCAGGGTATATCTGGTGAACCTGGACCTAAAGGACAGGTGAGACCATAGAAAAGAGGTGGTTGTTGGACTTTTGTTCTCATTTATTTCTGATTAGTTAACAGTTTATTTTTTCCTCTTTATAAATCATTGTTTTTTTAAAAATGTTCTTCTATTTTTGCAGCAAGGAATTAGGGGTGACCTCGGGCACAATGGACCCACTGGAGACCCCGGTAAGCCTGGAGATCAGGGCCCATCAGGGCTATCAGGTCCAAGGGGACTTAACGGCGAGCGAGGGGTACCCGGCATGCCAGGCATTCCGGGGCCACCAGTAAGTTCATTTCTGCTTTCTATACAGCATTTATATTTGCTCTTTTATATCTCTGCAATTCTCATTCATCTCTTCTTCTCTCCAGGGACGTGATGCATCTGACCAGCATATTATTGAAGTGGTTCTAAAGATGATGCAGGGTGAGCATCCAGAGCTGAATATTTACCTTTGATGTCTGCAGGGTAGATTAGATTAGCTCATTTTCCAAAACTGCTTTCATCTCCTCAGCAGTCAGTTGCCAGCTATCAAAGGTTAATAAAAAATGATTATGGTATGATTTTTCTTTTTTTCTTTTTTTAACAGAGAAGCTTACAGCGGTAGCAGTGAGCGCAAAGAGAGCCGTGCTTGGTGGTGCAGGTGTAATGGGACCTCCTGGGCCTCCTGGACCTCCAGGATCACCTGGCTCTCAGGGTCCACATGGTTTACCAGGTCCCCGTGGGGTACCTGGTATCATCGGAGCGCATGGGCAGATTGGAAACACAGGGCTCAAAGGTAAAAAATAAACAGCATGATACATTTGCAACACTTGAATGGGTTTTGTTAACATCTTCCCATGTTCCATGTTGCTTAGGGAAGAGAGGGGCAAAGGGGCAGAAAGGAGATCCAGGTAAAGCTCACCCAGGACCACCAGGGCCCCCAGGAATACAAGGTAGGAACTATGTTATATGTGAGTTGTGTTGAGCTCAAAAATATCTAACAATTTTTAAACTATTGTAGCAAGTTTCCATACAAATTTAACATCTTAGACCATATACTGCCAGCAGAACTGTAAATGAAGCATAATTATGCAGAAAATAAACAGTAATGCTTACTTAGTTGCTTGTTTAACGTATTAGAACAGAAAATCCAGGGTGTAAACTAGAATGTGACATTGGGATGGCACGACAATGTTGACATCTTTATGTTGTCACATAAAAGTATATAAAAACAAGCGTATTTGGTCACAGCAATTTGGCATATTTGCGAGGGAAATATTGAAAAAAAAAAGATTTTTGTTTCCACTGACCAACAGTTGGCACTGGTACCAAAACACAGAGATATGCTGTTGGACCAAGTGAGCACACTTTCATTTGATGCTGGAAATTGAAACCAGCAGGAACTGATTAAAAAAGTTGCTATGATGCATTTTTAGAGCCAGCATCTGTGCACAGGCAATGTAGGGTCATGGTGGCACCCGACCTCACTTTTATGTAAGGATTAACTAATTACAGCTAAATGTTTTAGAAAATAATAACCATACTACTACTACTACTACTACTACTACTACTAC